TGAATTTTCTAAGTGAACATGTTACATGTTAAATTGATTAATATTATGACCCAATTGGATTTTACCTTCTTTATGTACCTATCTGTAGATCCACAAAGCCTCCAAGTATACTGATTTGGATGAATTTATATACGTTCCTTAGGACCATTTTCTGGTAGCAATATAACTCTGAATTGCATTAAAGGAAAAAGTAAACCATGTTGTAGAACTGTGATTTTTCTCAATTTAAACCCTATATTCTTCCTATTTGGAGCTACTTAATGATTTGCTGTGTCATTTCCACTCCTGAGTCAGTACAGCTTTGTTTTTTACTTAATTATCATAATTAAGATTATAATTTAAAATCTCAACTCTTTGATCTTCCTAATAGATATTTTTATTGGTCAGTGTCAAACAGATCGAGAACCTGTAGGAGAATATGTATTAGGGGATTTATTGCAAGGAATTGGCTTATGTAATTTTGGGAACTGACTAGGCTTGGCCATAATCCCTGAGGCAGGTCGTCCGGAAGGGTAGGTTGGAACCCTCAGGCATGAACTTCCACTGACTTAATCAGGCTTGTTCAGATTATCCAGGATAAGTCTTCTTACTTTAAAATCAACTGATTGTTGGCTATAGTTATAGCCACAAAATAGCTTTACAGGCACACTTAGGTTAATGAATACCTGGCCAAGTTCACACATAAAATTGACGATCACAAAATTTAAATGCAAAATTTCAAATTTAGCAAAATAATATAGATTTATGCATAATTATATATGTTTGATGTTGAAACTAGTTGTTCCTTTCGTGGTTGCAATGAAATGCACATTGTGAAAGTGAATGTTCAAGTCCCTCGAATGTTGGGCAAGGGAAAGAGCATGAGCAAGATGATGTAGGCAGCCGCCCATGAGATTCTATTCCCATGGCTAAGCCACACAGGTGATTATTCTAAGATCTCGAGGTAAGTACACCCCAGCCTGTTCAGTCTTCTCTCTTGCTTCTCAGACCTAGGCTTTCTGAAGGGCTCTGTCCAATAAGTGGAGAGGGATTTCCTTGGCTGTTTAGAGTGTGTCTGTTGCCGAATAATGATCAGAAGCAGCCAGACTTAAGCCCAGAAGCTTTGGAAGCCAAGAGAGGGCACTCTGAGTTTTACCAAGAATGCTGATGATATTAAAAAAGAGGTTCTCCAATGGTTACCAGAAAACAGGTCACAGAAAATACACATCTGAAAACTCTGAATGACCACTATATTTTCTTGCTTCTGCTCCAACTTCAAGGATAAAAGCTTCTTAAAAGCACAGATTATATATACTCAGAACATGTCATAGTGAATAGCATAGATGTCAGTTAGTGTCCAAGCAAGAAATAGTACACTCAATAAGGTGAGGAGGATTTAACTAAAAGTTTTGTTTAAAAAGACGTGGGCCACCTCCTGAGAACCCCCAAATGATAGTGTAGTACTCTACAGTCATTATCATCCTCAGTCTTGGGGGGTAGGAAGGGAGAGATTACTGAAAGCATAAAGAGGAAGTCTAGGACTGAGAGCTACTACCCTCATAGGTACTATGACCTTTGCTGAAGCAATGTAATTAGTACTCTGGAGAGGGAACCAAAGAAGAAGAAATACAGTACTCTGATTCTGAAAATCCACCTCACTCTCTCACTGTAATCACCTGCCAGGGTTTCCAAATGTCTGAACCCACAAAATATCAGAGGGCCAATGGTCCACCAATGTGATCCTTCAAAATCAGCCATCTGAGGCTACAATGGAGAGTGGGTCCAGAGGGGCACACAAAAGATAGGAGGCCCTCCACTCACGTTATACAGCAGCTCCAAGCATGTGAACATAAATAAGCTGTGTCATTTCTCTGAGTCTCAGTTTTCTCACTTTATAATAATGTAATAATAGTTATCTGGCTGGGTTATTTAGGGGCAGACAGTACATGTAAATGTAAATTACTCTTTGTTTAAACTTTTATTTTAGGTTTGGCATATATGTGAAGGTTTGTCACAGGGAATTGTAGAGATTGTTTTGTCATGCAGGTATTAAGCCCAGTACCCAATAGTTATCTTTCTGCTCTTCTCCCTCCTCTGATCCTCCCCGCTCAAGTAGACCCCAGTGTCTGTCGTTTCTTTCTTTGTGTTCAAAAGTTCTTATCACTTAGCTCCCATTCATAAGTGAGAACAGGTGGTATTTGGTTTTCTGTTCTTGCATTAGTTTGCTAAAGGTAATGGCCTCCGGCTCCATCCATGCAAAAGACAGGATCTTATTCATGTTTATGGCTGCATAGTATTTCATGGTATATATGTACCACATTTTCTTTATCCAGTCTGTCACTGATGGGCATTTAGGTGGATTGAAGTCTTTGCTATTGTGAATAATGCTTTAGTAAACATTTGCATGTGTGTCTTTAAGGTAGAATGGTTTATATTCCTCTGGGTATATACCCAGTAATGAGATTGCTGGGTTGAATGGTAGTTCTGCTTTTAGCTCTTTGAGATATTAACATACTGCTTTCCATAATGGTTGAACTAATTTACACTCCCACTAACAGTGTATAACTCCCATTTCTCTGCAACCTTGCCAGCATCTGTTAATATTTGACTTTTTAATAATAGCAATTCTGATTGGTGTGAGATGGTATTTCATTGTGGTTTTGATTTGCATTTCTCTAATGATCAGTGATAGTGAGCTTTTTATCATATGCTTGTTGGCCAAATGTATATCTTCTTTTGAAAAGTGTCTGCTCATGTCCTCTGCCCACTTTTTAGTGGGTTTATTTGTTTTTCTCTTGTAAATGTGTTTAAGTTCCTTGTAGATGCTGACCATTAAACCTTTGTCAGATGCATAGTTTGCAAATTTTCTCCCATTCTGTAGGTTGTGTTTACTTTGTTGACGGCTCTTTTTCTATGCAGAAGCTCTTAAGTTTAATTAGATCACACATGATTTTTGCTTTTGTTGCAATTTTTTTTGGTGTCTTTGCCATGAAACCTTTGCCCATTCCTATGTCCAGGATGGTATTGCCTAGGTTGTCTTCCAGGATTGTTATGCTTTTGGGTTTCACATTTAACCATTTAACTCATTATCATTATTATTATTATTATTATTTGAGATACAGTGGCATGATCTCAGCTAACTTCAACCTCCACCTCCTGGTCTCATGCCTCAACCTCCCAAGTAGCTGGGACTACAGGCATGTGTCACCACACCAGACTAATTTTTTTTTGTAAAGATGGGGTTTCACTGTGTTGGCCAGGCTGGTCTCAAACTTTTGGCCTCAAGTGATCCACCAGCCTCAGCCTCCCAAAGTACTGGGAATACGAGTGTGAGCCACCATGCCTGGCCACATTTAAACCTTTAATCCATCTTGAGTTGATTTTTGCATATGGTGTAAGGAAGGGTCCACCTTCAGTCTTCTGCATGTCGCTAGCCAGTTATTCTAACACCACTTACTGAATAGATAGTCTTTTATCCATAGCTTGTTTTTGTCAGCTTTCTTGAAGATCAGATGATCGTAGGTGTACAGCCTTATTTCTGGGCTCTCTATTCTGTCTCATTGTTCCGTGTACCTGTTTTTTGTTTCAGTACCATGCTGTTTTGGTTACTGAAGCCTTGTAGTATAGTTTAAAGTTGAGTAACATGATACCTCCAGCTTTGTTCATTTTGCTTAGGATTGCCTTGGCTATTCAAGCACTTTTTTTGGTTCCATATGAATTTTTAAATAATTCTTTTCTAGTTCTGTGAAGAACGTCATTGATAGTTTGATGAGAATAGCATTGAATCTGTAAATTGCTTTGGGCAGTATAACCATATTAATGATATTGATTCTTCCCTATCCATGAACATGGGATGTTTTTCCATTAGTTTGCATCTTCTCTGATTTCTTCGAGCAGTGTTTTGTAATGCTCATTGTAGAGATCTTTCACCTCCCTGGTTAGTTGTGTTCCTAGGTATTTTATTCTTTGTGTGGCAGTTGTAAATGGGCTTGCCTTTCTGATTTGGCTCTTGGTTTTATTGCTGGTGTATAGGAATGCTAGTGATTTTTGAACATTGATTTGATATTCTGCAACTTTGCTGAAGTTGTTTATCAGCTGGAGGAATTTTGGGGCCAAGACTATGGCATTTTCTAGATATAAAATCATGTTGTCTGCAAACAGATAGTTTGAACTCCTCTTTTCCTATTTGGATGCCCTTTATTTCTTACTCCTTCCTGATCGCTCTGGCTAGGACTTCCAATACTGTGCTGAATAGGAGTGGTGAGAGAGGGCATCCTTGTCATGTGCTACTTTTCAAGGGAAATGCTTCCAGCTTTTGCCCAGTCAGTATAATGTTGTCTGTGGGTTGTCATAGATGGCTCTTATTATTTTGAGGTATATTCCTTCAATAAGTGATTTATTGAGAGTTTTTAACATGAAGGGGTATTGAATTTTATTGAAAGGCTTTATGTGTCTATTGAGATAAACATGTGGTTCTGTCTTCAGTTCTGTTTATGTGGTGAATCACATATATTGATTTGCATATGTTAAACCAACCTTGCGCCTTGTGGATGAAGCCTACATGATCATGGTGGATTAGCTTTTTGTTGTGCTGCTGGATTCCGTTTGCAAGTATTTTGTTGAGGATTTTTGAATCAATGTTTATTATCAAAGACATTGGCCTGAAGTTTTCCTTTTCTGCTGCGTCTCTGTCAGGTTTTGGTATCAAGATGATGCTGGCCTAATAGAATGAGTTGGGGAGGAGTCCCTCCTCAGTTTTTTGGAATGATTTCTGTAGGAATGATACCAACTCTTCTTTGTACATCTGGTAGAATTTTGGCTGTGAATCCATCAGATCCCAGGCTTTTTTTTTGGTTGGTAGGCTGTTTATTACTGATCCAATTTTGGAGCTTGTTGTTAGTCTGTTCAGGGAATCAGTTTCTTCCTGGCTCAATCTTTGGAGAGTGTATGTGTCCAATAATTCATCTGTCTCTTTTAGGTTTCCTAGCTTGTGTGCATTCATTACTCTTAACAATAAATGGAACTTTGCAAAGTAGCAATTGTTGTAGCCAATGAGGTTTATCTGAGGCACAATTATTGCTAATTGAAAACTTTTCCCAGTACCTCTCTGTGACGACTTGCAATATAGTTGGCATTGGCAATTTTGACAGTCTCCACAGAGACTAAATTAAAAAATACATAATAGATAGCTTTCAGCGTAATAGCTGCTACTGTTACAATTGTCATCACTGTTGTTACCTCAACTAATTCATAAAATAGATATGAAGTTCATTTGACAGCAGGAAAGAGGTAAGAGATTCATGAGACACTTTGAACTGTGTTAGAGTAACTGTAGCATCTTACATAGGTATATGTGTTAACCTAAACTCTGATCATAAGACAAAACCCCCATTTCCTCTCAATGCTCCTAGTGATCATACATTTCTACTTTTTCCCACTTATTTTCCAGAGATAAAAATAAAATTTGTAAACTATCCCAGTTTGAATTTCCCTCTTGCCTACCTCATGGTGGAGAATTTCATGTCGGATAAAATGGCCAAAAGATTTGAGATTGGGGGGAGAAACTGAGACTAATGCACATTGTCTGACTTCATATTTACTACAATGCAATTTGATAAAAACTGTATTGGGCAGATAATAACATTGTGATTTAGTAATTGTGTCTACATCTGTAATTTCTTTTCTCTGTGGTATTTAGGATTACAAAGTAGGATTTATAGATATGTAGGGGAAAAGGTAATTTTTTGCTTAACCTTCATATGTTCTTAGTTGAAACAGACTCTTGTAACAACAGCAACAATAACAAAAAAGCAAGAGAAATAATTAACAAGAGAAAAACAGAAGTTTGCTAATGTGTATATTTCCTACATACATGGGAGGTACCTAGAGAAGGAGTAATTATCAAAGAGGTTACTCTGAGTTCTACTTTATATAATATCTTGAACAAAAAGCAGTAAATTTTTGGAGAAGTGACAAAACAAAGGAAATGGACTTTGAGTCTCCAGAGCCAGCAACTTGTGGGAAGGTAAACAAAGGCTAGTTAGTAAAGCTTGTTATTGTAGATTCCTCTGATGCCATCTCCAGGCCCATAAGGGTCTAAAGTTGTTTTCAGTAATTAGCTTTTGTTCTTCCTGGTAAAAAGGGGAGACAGGATATATTATTTCTTTGTAAATTTATGTCCTGATTTTAGACAAATGGAGGGCAGAGAGCTCTCATGTATCTGCTTCTTTCTTGACTTCAGCTCAGCAATCCTGTCAAAAATGTGTATTTGGGGGTGGCATATTATGGCCTCTCACACTTAAAACAGTATAGATAATAGTGTATATATTAATAGTCTAGATTACTGTGCTTTACTTATAAGTACAATTTAGATCGTAAGTCAAATAAAAAGCCAGATGGAAACATTTTAAGAATTTATCTTGGAGAAGGTTCAAAAGGTGTCTGTTGTCCTCGCACGAAAGAAATCTGTACCTTCAAGGTCCTGGGGACACCAGCAGTGGCACACTGATTTAGCATAAGACTGACCATGTGCCGACTGGGAACAGGACTTCTTAGAGATCACCAAGAAATTACTTCATTCTTCAGCCTTTGTCACATAATTAAATTTGAGTCTAATGCTCTAATCTTTAGATGTTTTTGAGTGAAATTCTTATTTATTCCTTATGACAAGTACTCTGTTCTGTCTTCATAGATGAGACTCCTAGCTGTGAATAAAACCAGGTCGGAGGTTTTGCTACAGTTGATCATATTATACCTATGAATGATTCATGTGCCATCTGTTGATCATAAATCCAATTAAGGAATTCTAATAAATGTATGATTTTTACTTCCTAGAGTAAAGCAGAATTGGCATTTACAACCTTCCTGAGCAATAAAATGCCAGTAAAAATTTAATTGACACTTACGGGTCTTTGCTATTCCTAAGCATTAATCACCTTAAAACACAGTATCAGGTGTCTGTATTTCCATGACTATTAGCTACAAAATGTTGGCAACATGTTAAATTTCAATTACTTTTTATAATATCTTTTATTCACATGAGCAAGATTTAATGACTCACAAAGACAGTTTGGAATAAATACAGATATTCACCCTGGATTTTTCTCTTTCAATGGGAATAATTATTAACACTGGTTTCTTCTCTGAGGTTGTAATTTTTGGTAGTTTAGTTCTTATTCAGAATGCACTGACAATGTGATTGTGATTAGTATCTCTGTCTTTCCCAGCATGCAATTATTTGCATATTAATTTAACTTTGATTTTGGGTGAAAATAGCACCATATCAGCAGAGGGATATGATTTTAAAGTATCCGTGACATAAAATAATTTTAATGTGGACGTAACTTTGCTATAATTCTAAATTTACTTTTAAAAATAATAAATATTGCTTTTTATGACTCTGGATTATGCTGCACAAACTAAGGGAATAAGTCTACCCTAAGAAGTATAAAACCTCAATGCTGTATCTGTTATTTTGACATTTTTTATTTGAATATTTACTCTCAGGATTTTTTGACATGGGGACATGTTCTGATTATGCTTCTGCAGATGAAAATGGTAACACATGGGAAGGTCATACAGCTGGACTAGGAAATAGAAACAGATGTTGCATTCACTTGCCATTTGTTTCTTTTTCCCCTTTCAGTTTTCTCTTCTAAAATAAGAGAATGAGTCCTTTTCATATTGGCAGTGAAGCTAGAGTACATTGATGGGGTTCTTCCTTGGACTGAAAAATAGTCCATGCCCTGCAAATGTTGATCGTATCTCTTGGTGCAATTGATGAGTAATGTAACTCTTTATCATACTGTCTTTGTGTTTTGGAAGTAGAAATAATAAAATGCAATGTACATTATGTGTGTTCATATTGATTTTTAAAAGATCTGGAGGGAATATTCATAAATATTAAAAATAATTGTGTTTTTGTTTTCTCTTTTGCACTTTATATTCTAAATTTACTGTAATCATAAAAATAGTTTTTCCAAAAAAGGTATAATAAGTAAGTAAAACTGCTCACTTTCCTCCTCACGTTATCCACTAAGGAATACCTTCAAAGAAAACATTATAGAAGTGAGAGAGGAGGTGTGCATTAAGGGGGAATCCATGCTGAAGACTAGGAGGGAATGAGAGGGGCAAGTCTTCAGTCCAGGCTGAGTCTGAGTCAGCACACTCAGAGCAGATTTCTTGGGAGAAAATGGGAGGATTCACCTGAATCAGCTTCCAGAAACTGACAGGAAAGTCAGACGCCCCCCAGTTGACAATGGGATTGTTACCACCTTTGGAAAAGGATGCTCTTGTTGACATGACCAGTGTATTCTCTGATGCTTGTTTAGTGCCCACAGAGCCAGAGCAAGACTCACTCCTACTGCTTTTGGCATCCACCTCCAACAGGACAGATGTACTGTCTCTAGTAAAAGTGTTTGGCATGGTAACTTTGGGTTAAACACAATTGGGTGGAAGCTAGTCTTGTGAAATGGAGATCTGCATAAAACTTGAAGAGGCAGAACAAACAAGGATCAAATAGAGTCAAATCCATAAACCTTGAGGCTATTTAATTTCTAGGTCAACATTTATTCTTCTATGTACCTTCTGCCCTCCTCCTTTGTAATTTCCTTAGACCCAACCTTCCAGGCCCCTCATATAAAAATATTTCTCTCCTTTTCCCCAGATGGTCAGTGGTGTTCACTACCTTGCAATGTAAGGTTCAGCTTTATTCAAGAAATCATTCAGTGTCTGTGGAGCCCCTATTATATATGTCTGACTTCATGATTAGGGTAAATGTTGTCAAATATCCATACAAATAACCTCCATTTATTAACAAAAAAAGACTTTTCAACCTTATCTCAACAGGACCCTGATATATGAATTCACTATGTAGTTAGATAAAATACCTAGGAATACAACTATCAAAAGACATGAAGGACTTTTTTAAGGAGAACTACAAGCCACTGCTCAAGGAAATAAGAGAGGACACAAACAGATGGAAAAACATTCCGTGCTTATGGTTAGGAAGAATCAATATCATGAAAATGGCCATGCTACCCAAGGTAATTTGTAGATTCAACACTATCCCCATCAAGCTACCAATTACCTTCTTCACAGAACTGGAAAAAAACACCTTAAACTTCATATGGAACCAAAAATGAGCCCGCAGAGCCAAGACAATCCTAAGTAAAAAGAACAAAACTGCAGGCATCATGCTACCTGCCTTCAAACGATACTACAAGGCTGCAGTAATCAAAACAGCAAGGTACTGGTACCAAAACAGATATATAGACCAATGGAACAGAACAGAGGCCTCAGAAATAATGCCACACATCTACAACCATCTGATCTTTGACAAACCTGACAAAAACAAGCAATGGGGAAATGATTCCCTGTTTAATAAATGGTGTTGGGAAAACTGGCTAGCCATGTGCAGAAAGCTGAAACAGGACCCCTTCCTTACACCTTACACTAAAATTAACTTCAGATGGATTAAAAATTTAAACATAAGACCTAACACCATAAAAACCCTAGAAGAAAACCTAGGCAGAACCATTCAGGACATAGGCTTAGGCAAGGACTTCATGACTAAAACACCAAAAGCATTGGCAACAAAAGCCAAAACAGACAAATGGGATCTAATTCAATGCAAGAGCTTCTGCACAGTAAAAGAAGCAATCATTAGAGTGAACCGGTAACCAACAGAATGGGAAAAAATTTTTGCAATCTACCCATCTGACAAAGAGCTAATATCCAGAATCTACAAATAACTAAAATTTACAAGAAAAAAGCAAACAACCCCATCAAAAAGTGGGCAAAGGAAATGAACAGACACTTTCAAAAGAAGACATATATGAGGCCAACAAACATGAAAAAATGCTCATCATCACTGGTCATTAGAGAAATGCAAATCAAAACCACATTGAGATACCATCTCATGTCAGTTAGAATGGTGGTCATTAAAAAATCTGGAGACAGCAGATGCTGGAGAGGATATGGAGAAATAGAAACGCTTTTACACCGTTGGTGGGAGTATAAATTAGTTCAACCATCGTGGAAGACAGTGTGGTGATTCCTCAAGGATCTAGAAATAGAAATACCATTTGACCTAGCAATCCCATTATTGGGTATATACCCAAAGGATTATAAATCGTTCTATTATAAAGACGTGCACATGTAT